ATTGATCATCTGCTTCGGAAGCGACTGTGCAGATCAGGATGGATGATTTGGTTTCCTTGGTTTGTGCTTTGTAGGGAACTAGACCCGGATAGAGTGTGACAGTGAGAAAAGTCTGAATTTTCATTGACAAGAAAGCCATAAAATGGTGAACGGTACGGCTCTCTCTTGCTTTGTAGCCTGATACATAGTTCCAATACATGATTAACTAGTATATTCTTCTTGCCTCTTCAGTGTTGTTTAACTTTTTCTCTACTGTGGACGAAATATTAGCCGCACTCGTGTTATTTCTTCAACGTTCATGTTATCAGATTTGGTCTTTAGCATTCATTAGTTCTCTTCTGTTATTATTCCTAGGGGCTAGGATTATAGAAAGAAGTTTGTTAACTTAACCTCTTGAATAAAAAATATTCCATTGCATTGCCACAAATTTCAGATATCGTAATCTAATGATGAAATTGCTCCCTGTACTAATGTTGTGTCTTTCCTAGGCATAGCAGATATGGATGCCATTGCCAATGACTTAGTTGAACAAGAGAGCACTGGCAGCATCCCCAGCCCTCTGTTCTCTGGTACAAATCTGAACAAAAGGCTCCGGTCCAAGGTGTGGGATGACTTCATACCCACCTTTGCCGAAGGGAGGATCGTGCAGGCTAAATGCATGCACTGCCACCAGGTCTTCGGTGGCACCAATGGCACTAGCAGCCTGCTACGGCACCAGGCCAGTTGCGTCCCTGCGACTCTCAAGAGGGCAAAGATGCAGGAGCAAGCATCTTTGCCATGTACACAGAAGGGCACAGTATCAGCTGGCTCTGATCCTAAACAGAAGAAGCTCCCATTCTTGCCATCTAACCAAAAGAAATTTGTGGGCAAAGATGACATGACACCTGCGCACAAGGAGCTTGCCTTGCCTGACACTCTCACCACCATGACCATGACTAGGATGAATCAAGAGGTTGATCAGAATGGATCTCATGAGGATCTTGCAGAGCGGAAGAATCTTGCTTTACCTGGAATTTCCACTGATAACGATAGGAGGAATCAATCTAACAAGGAAAACACATCAGCTGAGCAGATTGGCATCCCTGCTGACATGAGTCAAAAGCATCAGCAGGTGGATGAGAATGCTTCTCATGAAGAACTTATCAAGATACTGGCCATGCATGGGAACCTGCCAAAGATGGTGGATCAAGATGGATTCAGAGAGCTAGTTACTTGGTTGAATCCTTTAGTCAAGATGCCATCCCATGACGACCTGGTGATGAACACTTTGAACTTGTTTCAGAAAGAAAAATCCAAGCTTATGCAGGAGTTTACAGCCTTACACAGTCGTGTTTGCTTGAGTGTCTATATGTGGCACTATGATCCAGTCTTGGCATTCTTGTGCTTGAGAGTTCACTACATCGATGGTGAATGGGAAAAGCAGCAAAAGGTCATCACATTCCGTGCCGTGGATTCCTCTTGCAATGCAAAGGAGCTGAGTGATATCATATCGGGAGCTGTTGAACATTGGGGCCTTGATGGCAAGGTTTTCTGCATCATATTGGATGATGCATTCATTGATAATTCAGTGGCTTTGAGTGTCAAAGCCAACCTTCAGGAACGGAATCCACTTTCTGCAAACCAGAGCTTGTTTGTGGTACGTTATGCAACTCATTTAGTTGATCGGGTTATTCAGGTGGGGCTGGATGAACTCGAGAAAACCTTGGAGAAGCTGTCAAAGTTCTCTAAGTGTACAAATGGTCGCACTCCTGCAGCAGTACAGTATCCCAACTGCAGATATGCACCGTCATCAGATGATTGGTTGACAGCAGGGAGGATTTGTGATAAATTGGATAATCTTCATAAACACGTGGGCTCCACTGAAAGATACCCTACTCCAGATCATTTATTTAACATGCTATGGAATGTGAAGAAGGATGTGCATTATGAATCTCTTATCTACTGCTACAAGGATGATGACATATTTTCCAAAATACTGGAGAAGATGCAAAATAAGTTCAAGGAAAGCTGGAAGATCTGCTTCTTCCATTGCTGTATGCCTATGATCATGGATCCTGAATGCCGCCTGGAGCACATTAGGTCCTCCGTTTGGCTTTTTGGTTTGGAAAAAAATGATGTGCTTGATACATTGGCCAGCCTCTTCAATGAGTATTTAGATCAGGTAGAAGACCCTAACAACACTTCTGGGTCTCAAACTAGCAAGGGAACTGTTGTAGATGTTGATACGCTGGTGGAGTACGATCGTCATTCGCACCAGTGTAGTGAGAGACCGATGACTGAACTTGATCAGTATTTGCAAGCACCACATCTCACGACAAGCGAGCCCATTGGTTTAAAAGGAGCAGCAGGTAAACCCAGTGGTCTCCAGTGGTGGAAGGAACACAGCAGGAATTATCCCACGGTTGCTCGGATGGCGCGTGATGTGTTGGCACTACCATGCATTAGTGACTAGAAGGCCGCAACAAGAACCGCAACACTAGCAATATCCGAGTCCAGTAGTAAACAATGGGTTGAAGAGCTTGTTTGTACTCAGGATTGGCTGAGTCCAGCTGGTACGACCTGTCTGTGATCTAGACTTTCTGTTTTTCTTTCCTGATTTTATCGTATCACATGTTCTTGTACCAATCGGATTTTCTCATGTCTTGATAGATGCGAACCAGGAATCAACCGGCCTTTAAAGTGAAGACTTCGTCCTTCCTAATGTTCTCAGCTGCTTTCCTCATTTACCATTTGCTAATCTGTGCTGTTAGCAATGAGCATCTAGTTACCTTTCCTATGCAGGACTAAGATGGGATATCGTGTGACGAGGCTTTTTGTATGTATCTGTTGTGTGGAGCTTGTCAGTAGTTCCTGCTTCTAGTTTCAGATACTGAACCTTCTTGTCAACGTTGTATCCGATACTTTATGTTCAGATATTCACTTGCACCTCTACAGATTTGTTATGGCTTTTTGGGCCAGGAATGTATAGATTACCAATTCCTGCCACAACAGTTTGATCTGTTCAAAAAAAGAAAAAAAGATTCAGACTTTTTCTCTGAATAATGATACACCACTTTGCCCTTTAGCAGCACGCACGCACGCACGCTGCTAATCAGGCTTTTGCCCCTTCCATAATCATTGAGCCGGGACGGGGATGCATGGATCCCAGACCAAATTATCAAACAAAACCCCACCCAATAGTCCAATACACACTAAGATCTGGATCTGAGCCATTGGAGGGGCATGCCACAGAAATCACCAGCTGATTATATCTCGTAATTTTCCTCGCGCTAACCTTAAGAGGCGAGGACCGATAAAATGTTCAGGCGATCATGGTATGTTCAGGCGATCATGGTGCGTCTGATCTCTGTCCAACATTTCTCAGAACTCACCTGCTGAAACTGCACTAAGTGAACATGAATACATTATCACTGCCCTGAGTAACGCTGCACTGGCTGTTGCATGTGGATCCGGGTCTCTGTATAGCCAGCCACCAATACAATATTAGCCGAGCTCAGTTTCAGTTCTTCCCAATGCAGGCCGAGCTGACCCTCGTGCAGGCTGCAGGAGCAGGACAGCGAGACTGAATCCCAAGACCGCAGCGGTGGGCGGAGCAGCACGCCACACGCCCACACGTGCGCGGGCGGTCTCGGCCACGGCCAGCGCCCAGCGGCTGGCTGGAGCTCTACTGGCAGCCGTGGACGGTGTCCGTCCGGGCTGGCACTGCCGGCGTCTCCCCCAAGTTGTCTCATGGAGCTTAGCACCCCTAATTCATCAGCAGCAGTGGTGTTGTCCTCGTCTGGCGAGTATTTTACACTGAATCGCATGTGCTTAGCACCTGACAGTCAGTCGCTCACTGGTAACTGGTAAGCCTCTGATTAATTCTGAAATTCAAAACGAAGGCTCCTCGAACATCGCGAATTCTAGATGAAGAATGGTACTGTCCCTAGTTTTTGAGTAATTTGGACGCCAGCAGTGCTCAAGAATCAAGATTTGCAATGTGTGCGTATGATGGTCTCTGCTACAGTTTTGGTATTTGTCTCCCGACTCTCGAGCAGCTTCGAAATATACTTATCTTATCTCCAGTCTGAAATTGAAATTCTTTTGTTTTGTTTATCTGTCAGGCACTCAGGTTTGTATGATTTCTGCTGTCGACCAAAGATTGATACAATGAAGTGAAAGAATAGTAAGAGTTGTGTTCTTTTTCCTTTTCACTTTGTGATCAGACTTCATGCTTTGCAAAGTCGCAATTGTCAAACGACGCGATTATTTGAATTTAGTTTCTGCTAGTGATGCGAAGACTAACAATACCGTAAGGTACAAGAGTCTGGTGCTTAAACCTTTTTTCTCGAGATGACTTAAAATTCTTAGGGCCCTTGCTCTGGATCGAAGAACGAAGAGTAAGGATTGTATCCTTTTTCTTCCTTGCTCAGTGTTCATGCTCTGGAAAGTTGCAATTGTGTTACGGCTCAAGATACTGAGCTGCGTCCGACAACGGAAGATGAGGCCGCAGCACATGGGCCTGGGCCGCACCCAAGGCGCTCCAGCGGAGCAAGGGCGCCGAGCACGCATACCAGCGGGGACGAATGGGCGAAGGCGTAATCCAGCTGCCTACCTGGGATTACATACATGTAATAGGATAGAAGAGAGAGGTGGAGGGAAAAACTTGTAACAATTGACTTGCCCCTCCTGCAAGCCTCCTCTGAGCCCGACCTTGCTCCTCTTCCCCCACTCCGATCTACTGCTACTTGCCTGAATCTTATAGAACCTGTGGTTGGTCGTAACAAATTGGTAAAACACCCTATTGATCTGAATACGCAGTTTTAGTTTCAGTTTCACCATGCCAAACCACATGAGAGATGAAACAAACTTCCTATTGATCCTGCTCTGACACTCTGATTTACAGTTCTTTTTTTCATTTCTGGCTAGGCTCAAGCACTTTATACTAACAAGCAAACAGAAATCAAAAAAAAAAAAAAAAAAGAGAGCGCCGGCCGGATGGCAGAGTCCGGTCAGTAGCATCAGCTGGTGGCGGATTCAGAGACGCTGCTGCTGCTGTGGCTCGCGGCCTCGGAGATGCTCTGCAGCGCCGGCCGCCAGTGCCGGCCTCTTCCCCGGTGCCGGTCCTTGTCCTGCTTCCCGTCCTGAAGCGACAGACAGCGTGGGGGCGAGAATCAGTAACTGTTTGTTGCAGCAGGGGAAAAATGGTGTCAGAGAATCGGTGACCGACCTGGTTGGAAGAGCTCTGGTCCGCCCCGTCGCCGCGCCGGAGCTGCTCGTGCTGCTGCCTGATGGCCTCGCACCGCTGCATCTTCTCGTTCTTCCTCGCCCGCAGCGCCTTCGTCACCTCTGCGCAGGGAGCGCAATCGGATTGAGAATTTGAAGATTACCGGAGCGGAAGACAAGAAATCCAGGCACAAATTGAACCAGGACAGCTGACTGAGTGCTAACTAACCTTGCGCGGCGATGAGGCGGTAGACCTGGCCAAGGAGCAGCGTGTCCTTGGGCTTGAGCAGCTTGACCCTGGTGATCTTGGCCCCGCCACCGCCAGTGGACGCCGCCGCGGCGTCCCCTGCGGCGGCCGCCTTGTTATTATCAGCAGGGACACGGTGGATGACGAGGGCAACGTAGTGTCCCGGGTTGTTCCGCATGACCTCGGCGGCGGTGGTGGACCAGTAGAGGCGGTCGACCTTCCCGCCGGGGTGCTGGATGATGACCGCCGCCGCCTCCGCCGCCTGGCAGTTGCCCATCGCGCCCGCCCGCCCGCGCCCCTCTCTGCAGACTGCAGCAGCAGCAGCGTTGGTTGGTGGGCTGGTGGTTCAGGGAGCCTCGGCGGTGGCGGTTTGAGTCGTTGGGAGGAAGAGAGCGGAGAGGGAGGCGGTGGTGAACTGGTGATGCTGGTGGAGTGGAGGAGACGGTGGTCGTGCGCTTGCAGTTTTTGAGGTGGTGGGAGTTAAATGCCGGGGGAATTCCTCTGTGCCATTAAAAAAATGGCGATGCTACGTGTATATCTGAATTAGTGGTCCTCAGCGTCACTGTTTCAACTTTTTTTTTTCCTCCGTCAGTCTCGCTCTAACGTCGTTAAACTGCAGAGGCGAAAAATTAAAAATACTTTTAAGTCTAAATATATCATTAATTTTTTAGCATCTTAACGACTTCAAATGAAAAAACTCAAAATTAGAGAGTTGTAGATCTCGTCGAGATCTATAATTTTCATATAAAAATTATCCTTATTTAATTCCATAAAAAAAAGATATGATTTTTCTAAGATATATTAATCATATCAAATTATATTTTTTTGAATTAAATGAAGATAATTTTTATATGAAAATTATAGATCTCGACGAGATCTACAACTTTCTAATTTTGAGTTTTTTCATTTGAAGTCGTTAAGATGCTAAAAAAAATTAATGACATATTTAGACTTAAGAATATTTTCGACTTTTAACACTTATAGTTACGGTGTTAGAGGCCAGACTGACGGCAGTGACATGGAGGCATAAAAAAATTAGAACAGTGATGCTGAAGACCGCTAAACTTTTCTAAAGGCTCAAAGGACATCGCGATCTTTTTTAATGGCACGAAATTCCCCTTAAATGTGAGCAGGGGTTGGTGATGACGACGAGCTTTGCTCTTGGAGGGTTTTGGGTTCCGGATCCGGGTGGCTGCTGAGGATTTGAATCCGCTATGGCCACGGTAATTCTTGGGCAGACAAAACTTTGCAAGAAAATTTCACGGGAAAATCGTTCAAGTTTCGGGTAGAAATTCATGCAAGAGCCTAGAAATTGCTGCCACGTCAGTTAGCTGTGTTTTTTGGGCAGCGAGGACAAAGAAAGGAGGATTTGTTGTTGTCACTTTATCAACTTCTGAATAGATGTCGTAGATTATTCATTATATTATATTATATTATATTATATTATATTATATTATATTATATTATATTATATTATATTATATTATATTATATTATATTAAAGTTATTACGAAATAGTAGTAGTGCTGTTGTGCGTTAGCATGTTGGATAAGCAATGTGTCAGCGTTCAAAGGTCAGGTGGAGACGGTCGGCCGGAGAGCTCGCCATTGCCGTATTCCCTGGCCGGTGACCGTACTTCAACATCGCACATGCACATTTTTTTATATATTATTATATACAAAAGGAAAATTAATTGCTGACGCTTATTCTCGTCCTTTCTTCTTTCCGGTGCCATTTTCTACTTTTTCTGCAGGCTTTCTTCATCCTTCTCTCTAAAAAGATGCATGTTTCGCTCTCCTTTTTTCCGTGAACCTTAAACGTCATTTTATCCTTTCCCATCTTCGGAAAAGGAGCAAAGAAAAAAACTAGTTTTTTCCTAACGAAAATAATTTTGTTAGTTTGGTCTTGCCTTCATCTTCTCTAACTAATAGTATTTTCCTCTAACAACAAATCATTATAAACATTAGCATAAATCAAATTTCAGCGAAACGAACAGAGCCTAGTGAGGTCTCCAATAAAGTTAGAGTTTGGATAGGGTTTTATGCGAGCTCCAGCAGTACCTCCCAAATCAGGACTCCTACCGAGAATTTGAGAGTTTCCTTTTCTTTTTGAGGGTTCGGTTTTTATCTCAACTATGGGCCTATAACAGTAGACCTCAAATCAGGATCTTGGAGAAATTTGTTTTATTCAAGTGTGTTTAAGGACGAATGGGGAACTCAAATCAGGATCTTTACTTTTGCAAGAATCAATAGAATCAAATGAGAAATAAACACAACAAAAAAGTAGGGACCTTAACGAAGAGTCCTCATGAACGAGAGCCTGAGGGGATTATTTCAGGACCCCTCCCTGCTTGTTGCACCTGTATTTTTTTTCGATTCTTTAAATATAGCTTTAGATGTCCAAGTAGAGGCTCTGTCTCGAATGTGGTGTATGATTTTAGCCATACCCTATCTGGGTACCTAACCACGGTAGGAATGTTAGAGACCATGCCAGAATGAAGAACGTATGGGCATCACTAGGGGTGAATTTAGCTCGGGGTCCGAGTTTGATCCCGATAGCATTCTATAATTTTCTAAAAATATATATTATTTATCTTTAATATTTATAGTTTGCCTGATTATATTTTAATGGAGCTGACCCGGTGTCACGTCGGTTTCAAATTCATTTTATTTTCATTTAAGCTCTTGCCAATATATATTGTCCTGTCCTTGTTTCTGTGAACACATAAATGGTAGTATGAATGTTGAGGTAGCTTCGTACCAGCAGCTAAAACTGAGTATATACCGAAAGAAATAAAGGAAAAGTATATCGTGTACTACAATTTGGTGGGCGGCTGGACACGAGCCATCGTTCGTATTGATGGGCCACGCATGGCATTGATGACTGTAGCACATGCATGAAGCACGACCGATGGTGCAAGGCGGAGTGACCGCCGTGACGTGACCTACCGGCGGCGGGCCCCGCAGTCAGTCTCAGGTCCTTGCAGGCGGGCCCCGCGGCATGGGCATACAAGTGGGAGCTGACGAGTCCTCTGGCTGTGACCGCCGCGTGGTGTGACTGCGCGATTCTTCCTTCTTGTTTTATGATGATCCAGTTGCATTTATAGGCCGCGTAGCCTTCTCTTCGTTTTATCCGAACCCGGGAAAATGCACAGCGGGCCTACCACGAGTCAAAGCCATTTGTCACCGCACACGTAGAGAGACAGGTAGGTATGCGTACATGTGCGCGTTTGGTTCGTAGCGAAATCCCGAGGGCGGAACGATGCATGTGTAGGCACGTATTCATAATTCATGTACGTACGTGCAGGAGGATGGACATACCACTTGCAACTTGTCTAGTCTCTCTCTTGTCAGGTAGAGGCCGTAGGTTGCAGGGCACGCGGAGGCTTTAGTTGAAGCGTATAAGAAACGACTTGCATGCAGACAGAGGCAGAGAGGATGATGCAGGCATGCGGCAGCTGGTTCATGCATGCCGACTGCTGCACGCATTGCTCGATTCATGTTTGTGCGAAAATCCCAATCCACAACTCAACATTGCTTGTGTATGTGTGTGTGCCTCCTCCTCTTTGTGTAGCTTGTTTGATGCCTGCAAGAAGCATTGCTCCACACACAACTCAAAATTTGCCATTTGCATATATACAACGTTCGTTGCCAAAATGGCTGCTCTATAAGATTGCAATCATGCATGCATTGGTCAAACACTTGTTCTATAACGAAATAAAACACGTCTTCCTTAGGCCTCCTTTAAAATTCAGGAATTTTACAGGAAATAATAGAAATTAATTTATTTTTATAGGAAAAACACACATAAAAAAGTTCTTTGGTTCCGAAAGAGTCCGTATACATTTACATCGCCCATACGTAGTCTCCTTGCATACATAATTAGGAGAGGCTCCTAATGCACGCTTCACTAGTAGAGAACATACCTTTCATCCGAGGTCAAAATGGGCTCTAGTCCCGGCATTTTTTGCGCCCGGGACTAGAGAGACCTTTAGTCCCGGTTGGTCCAACCGGGACTAAAGGTCCCTGCCCAACGTCTACTGCGCTCGGCACAGTGGCAGGGAACCTTTAGTCCTGGTTGGAGACACCAACCGGGACTAAAGGTGGACCTTTACTCCCGGTTGGAGCCACCAACTGGGACTAAAAGTCTTTCAACCTTTAGTCCCGGTTGGTAACACCAACCGGGACTAAAGGGTGACCTTTTAGTATGGGTTGATATTACGAACCAGGACTAAAGGTCTCCCACCCGGGACTAAAGGTCCCTCACGGGTCAATTTAAAAGTAGGAGCGGGGAGGACTATGTCACATGTGGTGTGCAGTTGAGTTGGTAAGGAATCTAGGCGTGATGAGAGAGGTCTTATGTTCGAATCCCACACAGCGCAAGCGAAGTCTCAATGAATTCGTTTATTTTTTTAACTGAGGAGGGGGCTTTACTCCCGGTTATTGACCCGTTCCCTTTAGTCCCGAATTCTTACTCCTGGTTGGGAAACCGGGATTAAAAGGGGATCTCAACCGGGAGTAGAAGCCTTCTCTCCATCAGTGCTTTGAGCCGATGATGCCTCATAGTGCATCCTGTGAGTGTATTTTTATTACTCGTGTGGCAGGGTTAGGGGGTCTTCTCGCCCGCACGACTGATAATATTCATTATCAACTCCGGAGTGTGGGAGAGGGGGTCCTTCACGCGCGGAAATTGATAGTCATATCAATATTATTACTGGCTATTCTGAGATTTGTCAAGATCTATGTTGCCATTTGACTTAATATGGATATATTATCTTATAGTATATTCGTTTTAGCCAGCCTTTAGTCTTGAAATTCACTTAGTGGTTCAGTATCTATCCAATCTGGTTGCCATCTGTCGTACCATGATAGGAATTGCTGATATTCTCTTCTTAACTGTGAGTCCTTGCCAAAATTTGGTGTTATTAATCTTCCTATTCCTCTCAGTGGTGCATTGTAGCTATGGTGTTCTCGTAAGAATATCTTTATTATTTTATTTTGGTATATCATAAAATATTGGGGATCAAACTTTATATTCCCTTCTAATTCTTTAGCTTCTTTAAATATTCTCCAGTTGTCATGGTTTGTTTTGGAAAACAGCTCTTCGTGCTCTTGGGATATTTTTGAAGGGCTTAGGCTTGGGAATAAATATATATACCTTTTGTAATATAGATATCATGGGATGCTGGCCTTATTGTCTGTGTAAATCTTGGTGGAATGGAGTAGAATACAATTTTATATCTTCCTTGGAGGTATGAAAGCTTTTTACAAGCTTCTT